GACTGATCATATTTCCATTGTTGAGGTCTACTAAAATAGATTAAAATTGTGCAATTTTCCTAAATCACATTGGTTTCTCATACAGCATCTCTGTATAGTATGTGTATTCACTCTCTGTCCTAAACGGCTTGTTGGAGCTCCGCCCCCCCCCTCCCTGTGAGCCCAGTGTGCTCTGATTGGTCGGGACGTTGCGAGGCTCGTTGCTGCGATGAGCGGACAGGTTTCCGGGTCAGCGATACAGCGAGACACAGCGAAACTCATCCTGAGTACACACAAACACTCACAACCGAAGTAAAAACAATAAGTGTGGCTTGATATTGAGTCAGAAAAAGGTTTCTAATGCTATGAGAATGGGTCTGCAGAGAGCATTTCTCCGCCATCCCAACCCGTCTATTACCAGCGTTCAGGGAGCTCTATGGGACTCCCTGTTAGTTAGCCAAGGGGTCCTGGTGTGTGAGGTGCTCCGCCAATCCGGTCATGTGTTGTTGATTTGGGTGTTCACACGTCACAGAACCCAGGAAGCAAACAATGGAAAAAGAGAAATCTCCAACGAGGCGTTCTGGGGCAGCATAGACAGGTATTTTCTGTGTTAGAGTTTTACTCGCTACAGGGTGTACTTTGAGGGTTTGTGACTCTGCAGACCGTTTACATGCAGAAAAACCTTCATAACACACAAGGGGACGGGTAATAACCAGACAATCATGACATGGGCCCTTTAAACTAACAAAACAGAAGTGTTTACCTGATAACAAAAAACCTCTTTCAGTAATCTATCAGGGCCCTCATGGATCCTTTTTATAATACACATGTACACTTTGCAGTACATCCATGTTATCTCAGCAGGATGACACCAGCTGGACTGGATCCCATTTTAAATAAAAGGGAAATGTTGGATTACTATGCTATACTCGGTGTGACCCACCCTGGTAAAAACATCATATGATTATGCTGCCATCATGTGGTATGTGTAAGGTATTAGCACATGCTAAACCAGCTGAGGATTTAAGGTTTTCTGAAGTGACAGAAAGGTAAGAAATCATAGAAATATACACTTTGAATTGTAAACCTTTCCTTCTGGCATATTTATTGGTGAAAATAGGAAAGTGAAAAGGTTGCTGGGGACCCCATTGCTCACAAAAATAAACCTTAGTGGTAAAACAGGAAATACAGAACGATTATTTTCTAGCACAGGAAATCTATAAAAACTCGCAACTAATGAAGGTAGAGACGAATGATCATAATCTAAGTGTCTACTTATAAATACGTGTATTTCTGGTCCCCTTTATTAGTTCAAAAGAGCATACAAAAATGTGACAAATTTGACAAAAAAAGCTGTAACAAAAAAAAGCAGACGTTTGAATTTCTGTGACGTTGGCAAACATTCTAAGATGCAAAAAAGGAGGAAGAGAAGAGTCAATAAATCAACAAATACAATTATTTTACCGGAAGGGTCTTACCGGAAGGTCGACCCTTGTGAAGTGAGGCGTGTGGCGCAGTGGGTTGTGCGTTGGTGTTGGAATAAGGGGGTCACAGGTTCAAACCACACTGCTGTCAGCATGTCGTTGTGTCCCTGAGACACGTCACCCCAAATGGCTCCTGTGTGGATTGTCCACAGTATTGAGTATGTAAGTCGCTTTGGATAAAAGCGTCTAACAAGTGACGTGTAATGTAATGAGTTGAATATCCACCTGTTAACCTGTTGGGAGGTTCAAAAATAAGGGATTAACACTAGGTTGAATTCAAACTATATTTTCATGGAGTTTTTTTATCACAATAAAATAGGTTCGCCTGCCGTCTTGTCTGCAGACTTGTCAAAGCATTAATTCAAGGTTTTTACGAACCAGGTTGGGACTCAAAGCCAGAAAGCAGTGAAGCTGTAAGTGTGTCCGTTTTTGTTTCACTAAATTGCTCTCCATTAACTGTAGTATATAATATTTCAACATTGATTGATGCATAAGGAAGGAAGCATCAGTGTAACTTCTAGATTTAAACCCACATTTCAGTTGTGGGCCAATCACATGCAGGTATTTCGGTGTGACTGCAGCTTTAATTCTCATTAGTTAATGATTAATTGTTTCCAGCTGTCCTCTCCACGTGATTAGTCTGCACTGGGAAGTATTTGACATTGAGAGTTTGAACCTTCTGCATCTTATTTAAATTCAGTATGGTTTAGATTTCCTAAATTATCACTTGTTCTACTGGTAGTGTTGTGTTTGCTTACTTTGCTTTCCTGTTCTGTTCTGATAAAAGAGCGCGATGGTGACGGCAGCTCGGCCAGCCTCTGTGGCACTGCTGTCACTTTTTGCGTTTGGTTTTGCAGACGCCATTCGAACTTTGAGAGATGGACCCATGATCGATGCTGAAGGGAGGGAATATAAAACTGCTGCATTTGGGTTTGACACAGAAAGTCAAATCAGTGAACCACAATTCAGTGAGGGATCCACTATCAGTGTACAATGCACAGAAGTGTCCATAGTCATTGCGGTAAAGGCTGACTTCTTTAAAAATGGACGCCTTTTGTCTCCATGGGATTTTTTTTTGGGAGAAGTCAAACATTCACAGAGCAGTCAGTGTCGACCTGTTGCTGCTGGCGACTCTGAATATTTATTTGAAGCTGGACTACAAGACTGTGGCTCCAAAGTGACTGTAAGTTGTTGATGATTAGAAGATGCAGGATATATAACTGTGGTTGCTTAAGTGGTAGTTTTGATTTGTTGTGTTTTCAGAAGTGTCCCGGACTTTAATTATTTTTTTATTCTCTAGACATCTAAGGACTCTGTGATCTACTCAAACAAGCTGATAATCGTACTAGTCGCCGGCCAACATGGCATTAAAAGAACGACCCATGCTGCTGTTCCTGTTTCCTGTCACTATAAGAGGTGAGATGTTTTTATTGTGTTGTGCAGAGAATCTTTTTTGTGACTACTTCTTCTCGGCTGACTTTGTTACCTTTCTGGGACAGGACAAAGTTTGATGGAAGTCACTCTCAGCAGCCGCCCATCTCTCTTCCTGCTGTGTATTCAACAGGTGCTTTCTCTCTAAAGCTGATGACCGGTATGTGAGACCTATTCAGTGTTTCATTGAAGGTTTTTTTTTAAGTGTGCATGTAGTATGTGGTGGATGAAGTAGTCACACACTTTACCTCAAGGACCAGTGTGTAGGATATAGTGGCATCTAGCAGTGATGTTGCAGATTTGAACGGAAAACCCCTCACCTCTCAATTTCCAGGCATGTTGGAGAACTGGAGTTTTTTAAAAATATATAATTAAAGGAATATCACCCACTAAAGACAATGTGTACATTAATTCCTTACGTTGAATTCTCAAATCATACATAAACAGTGTAGCATTTCGTAGTTTTATTTATTTATTTTTTAGTAGGCTACACTACTGGATAAATGGGTCATTGATTTTCCTGCACAAGTTTAAGACGGTCAATGGATGTTTTGCTTTTCTTAAATGCGACCTCCATTTTAATTAGAAAAAAACCACCCGTCATTGTTTAATACAAAGTGAACATTTATATGTGAAGTATAGTATTCCTTATTTATAAGTTAGAGCATTTTTTCAACCAATAAAGAAACACTCAATTACAGTTTCAAAACTCATTACAGAATAAGTGAGTATAAGCAGAAACACAGAAATGTGTTGACTT